CCTTACGTTGTTGTGCTAAGATGAACCAACAAAGCATAATTGAGAGGGGAAGGGAAGACCAAAGTAAAAGTTGTCATCTTGAATTTCCTATTTTTCGGAGCAACATGAAGAAAACTCATAGTGAGAGTAAGAAGCTCAACCGAAAAAGATAATCAACCACAGTAACAGGACATCTTCTTCCTCCCTCTTGTCACGAAATAAAAGGGCAAAAGAAAAAGAGACCTAACAGAAAATATTTGGTGCTCTAAAAGATCCAATTATGTACCTGCAATTTTGGGGAACGAATCTAGAGTTACATACTACAATAGAACCTATAAGCGCGACCAATTAACAGTAAGGATTATTGCGTTCAAGCAAATCATAAGAACATTTGGCAGCAGCCTAATTAACACAATGATGAACCTACTATAGTCTATCTACTTTTGAGTTTGTAACCAAATAGAGAAAATTCATGGATGGTTCCCTCCACTGTCGGTCTAAATTAATACGTTGGTCTTGAATTCAATAATGAGCCTAGAAGAATTCATCCTAGGGCCCGAGCTTCATAGCCTATCTTCATCAAGCACACCTAGTCCAGTGTTAAAAATAGCGTGAAGCGAGGAAAAGCGACAACCCCCATTTCACGAAAAGCGAGAAGCGAAGCGCCCGCTTTTTTGAAGTGAAGCGGAATTTTTTTAAAAAAAATTAAAATAAATACGGCATAGACAACACATGTAATGGTAAGCAAATGTTCAATACTTGAATATATAATTTGGCAGAAATTGGGCAGTATCTGGGCAGAATTTGGGCAGAAACGAGGCAGAAACGGGGCAGAAATTTTCTGGAAAAAATTCGCCAGCATTTCGGCGCTTTTTAGACGTTTAGAAAGAAAAAGAAAAAGAAGAAGAAGAAGATTAGAAGAAGGAGAAGAAGAATGAAAATAAAAACATACCTGTTGAAACTTGAAAGCTGTTGTTGACTTGTTGTAATGTTGAAGAAGAAGAAGAACCCTAGTTTGCTTGAACAAATCGTTGCTTCATGTGAGGGAGAAATCGTTGGTTTTTTGAGGAAGAAAGGGCTGGTTTAAAACCCTAGGTTGCNGAGAACTAAACACATTGAGATTGACTGTCACTTTGTTAGAGAAAAGATACTCTCGGGAGATATTGCTACAAAGTTTGTGAAGTCGAATGATCAGCTTGCAGATATTTTCACCAAGTCCCTCACTGGTCCTCGTATTAACTACATATGTAACAAGCTTGGTACATATGATTTATATGCACCAGCTTGAGGGGGAGTGTTAGAATAGTCATGTAAATAGGAGTAAATAAATAACCCTAATCCAATATATGTTAGGAGTAGGACATGTTATGTGTGTATATATATAGGGCTCATTGTAACATATGTATATACATCAATAATATATTTTCTCCCGTGCTTTCTCACAGTAGTTTTAACTGCTAGACGTTTTTCCTTTGGGGTGAAAGTTCCAATTTATTGATATGATGGTGAAGATCCCTGCATTGCAGATGTATACGAAAAGTACAGATATACTTCATCCAAAAGAATGAGTAAAGAATCTTATCAAAACATAATAGTCTAAAAAGAGCTTCCAGTCATCAATATGAAGGAGCTATTTTCAATGTTCTCCTTCTCCACCTTTTCTTCTGAACTTCGATCCTAGTTGCTTATTTTGTATTGTTTTGGCTTTACCAATTCAACACCAGACAAATTCCACTTCCCAATTAATATACAATCGGGTGGTGAAGCAACGCACAATTGACGCCCGCATCCTCCTTATTGCATGTCCAGTGTTAAAAATAGCGTGAAGCGAGGAAAAGCGACAACCCCCATTTCACGAAAAGCGAGAAGCCAGAAGCGAAGCGCCCGCTTTTTTGAAGTGAAGCGGAATTTTTAAAAAAAAATTAAAATAAATACGGCATAGACAACGCATGTAATTGTAAGCAAATGTTCAATACTTGAATATATAATTTGGCAGAAATTGGGCAGAATCTGGGCAGAATTTGGGCAGAAACGAGGCAGAAACGGGGCAGAAATTTTCTGGAAAAAATTCGCCAGCATTTCGGCGCTTTTTGGACGTTTAGAAAGAAAAAGAAAAAGAAAAAGAAGAAGAAGAAGAAGATTCTAGAAGAAGAAGAATGAAAATAAAAACATACCTGTTGAAACTTGAAAGCTGTTGTTGACTTGTTGTAATGTTGAAGAAGAAGAAGAAGAACCCTAGTTTGCTTGAACAAATCGTTGCTTCATGTGAGGGAGAAATCGTTGTTTTTTTGAGGAAGAAAGGGCTGGTTTAAAACCCTAGGTTGCTGCTGAAGAATGACTAAAACAGAGACTCACTCGATTTTGGGTCTTTTAATTGAAAAAGACACGTTTGGGCTTTTATTTCAAGAAGCGATTGCTTCTTCCGCCTCTTCCGCTTTTCCCGCTTCTCGCTTTTTCGGTAGAAGCGACCGCTTTTAGGTACCTGAGTCGCTTTTGGTACGGTAGCGACAGATCCGGCGCTCTGCTTCGCTTCTGCTTAAAGCGAGGAAGCGGTCCCTTTTTTGAACACTGACCTAGTCTATATTGGTTTATTGTTTTCTAAAAACCTTACTCGATCACTCAATTTATTTATTTTTCAATTACTGGTGTTCATCTTAAGGATTTAAATGAATGATCTTTACGTGAAATAAAAAAGTTGTCACTTTTTCAGCCAATTGTTCATAAACAAGCAAAATAAATACTCTAATAGATAGTCGAACATGCTGTTAACATTTGGGAAAGAACACTCTAACAAGCGTATAAAAACTTTCACAACTTCTAAAAGCACTTTTGCATTAAATTTGACATCTAATAGAAGTATAAAACACAATTGACGCTTTTCCGATATATCATACAATATATACATTGGGACAGTCCTAGATTCTAATGTTTATTGAGTCAGTCACGTTGACTAAGAGCAAAAAAATTAAACTCTTGTACCTATAGCAAAGTTTATGAGAAAACATAGACTAACTCAATAATTAATGTTCCTTTCAATCTCCAGTGCAGCTAGTAGCTCTTGGCTGGAGGCAAAATTTATTTAATGGAAGTCATCACAAAAGAGGGACAGCAATGAGGTATCAATCAGAATGCTGGCTCTTAAACAATATGAATTCTGAATTAAAAAATATCAATTTCCTAGCAGAAAAAATAAAATAATATATGTAATTCTGGCTTTGGAGAATGAACATTTACATCTTTATAAGTTCCTTCTTCATTCCCATATTGCTAGTATATTTTTACGATTAAAATGATTACCATCAAATTGATCTCAAGATGTAGCTAATATTCATTTACACAGACAGAACTAAACAACATTCTTCTCTAAAACCACATGTAAAAGGATTGAGTGAGATTCGCTTAGATAAGATCTCAATGAAGCAGGTATCACCTTAAAATACAATACTTTTGGACAATCTTATTCTCAAGATTCAAAGCTATTTTTCACACAGCTCACACTACCGGCAAATTAAACTGGATAGGATTTTGATGTTTGAGTTTTATCCAGTCACAACACGAAAATGGTGAAGCTTCTTATTTTCTTCTCAGCTTGATATGTTTAGCTGTCGGATCAATATCCTAGTAAAACATGCATATTCTTCAAGGAAATGAATTAAGATATCTACGATTACTCACAAACCAGAATTTGTAATTCCTAAAGAGAGGATTTACAATAATCTAAAGCAAGCCAAGTTTATTTTTAAATCACTATGAAATTTTAATTAATCACACTCATGTGGAATGAGTATCAGAAAACTTAGCACACCTTAAGTACTGCCTTCTCTTAGGCTGAAAGCAGTAACCAGACCTACGAAAAAGCAGAGTTCGAGAATACCATAGAGATTTAGAATACCAGGGAGAGTACCTCTTCGACAATAATTGTGGCCGCTACTACCACTACAAGATTATAGTTTAAACTTTAGAGAGTTATAGACATCTCAAACAAGCAGAAATATGTCAATCCTTATAGGCATTCAAAAGGATAAACACCTAAATCATGACTACCAGAAAAGTTATTTCAATATCTTGTCTATCTTTATGAATGACTTAAGAAGGCCAAGAATATAGAAAATGTACCATAAGCTTTAAAAGATCTACAACGTCTCTACAGTCTACCTGACAAAACTTTTTGGAGAGTAACAGTCAACAATTCTATTGTCCAAGAATTTGACACATTTCAGGTTAAAAGGAAAAAAACGTGCACAAATTCATCTCTTGAATAGTAAATTTGAGAAAGCAAATTTTGTCACTATACTACATCAGATTATTATTCAAGTACACAAGTTAAATGGAGAATTTGATGTCGAGAACAAGCAAAAATGTTACAACACAACGATAATTGTTCTTGTATAATAGTCGCGCATAAATCAAAGAATTTTTTAGATCTCCTAAACGAAGGCTCATTTTTCACCTTAAAAGTCTTTTACCAAAACATTAATTGGAGAATGATATTCCGATTAACAGGTAAATGAAAATACTGCATCAAAGTGAGTCAAGATGTATGATGCAGCAACTGGCATACTTCTCTAAGCCATCATCAAAAAAATAAGAGAAAAAGCTGAAGTACACCTACTACATTTTAGCTTAGTATCTCGCTAACCTCTGCAATACCCACAAAAAAATGAACACCTCTGAAATATAAGAATATACTCAAAGTGGATAAGTTTTCTTTGGGGGAAAAAAAAATTACGTCAAACCCGACTACAACGGTCCAACATCACCATCCTCGTAATGGGGAGAAGCAGCTTTATAAGTACGGCTATTATCGTCTTAGCGGCATGTCCATACTCGTTATCACGCCACTAGTTTATTTCGGACCAGAATAAAACAAACATTCAAAGAAGCCAATAGAGAACTAAACGTCGAAAGAGAGGAATTGCAAAAGGGAAACATTATCGAGAACACGCAGGTGTAAATAAATAAGTGCAACACATTTCATCACTTAATTCCTAAATTTCCAGATAGAAAGTAAAGAAATTTACCGAAGAACTCCCAAATTTTAACTCAATATCTAACATTGAATGGGCCATTGGAAGGAAAACTAAATTTTGGAAATTTAATAATCTGTACCACCGAATTTGGATGAGACGAATTTGTCAGAGAAGACTTGAAGTAAAGCTGAAATTGTAGAGACAAGTTGACCTGGGAAGAAGAGACAAGCGATTTGTGCAAAAGGGGCACAAAGGTAATTATGTGCCCAACTTTTACCGCGCCGGACACCGGTGCATTCTTGAATCAGATCTTTTGTCGATTAATCTCAAAGTTCAGCCTATATAGCGGACCAGTCAACCAATTATATAGCCCATATATAAAATTCCATTTTTAACCCCCCCGGGAAGCAGGACGACGAAGAGTTGCTAAACTCCCACTTCTATATAGTAGGAATTAGTAGGCGTTCGGACATGAATTCCAAAAAAAATTTAAATTTGGAATTTCATTAAAATTTGAATTGAAGATGAAGTTGTGTATTGTTATAATTTTTGCAACATATTTGGATGTCTTTTTTTCAAAACTATGAAACATGATTTATACCCCGCAACTTGTAAAAAATATCAAAACCACCCCAATTTAATTATCCTACTTGAAATAAACAATCAAACATGCTATATTTAACTGTTATCATACTCTGCTTTACTGCAATATACAAAAGATGCAAAATCGATATCACATTTCCTAACATGGTCCGCTTTCCACTGTTATTAACAATACTTGTATTCATATTCACAGGCCCGGTACCAATAGGGTAGTTATCACAAGAAAAGGGTTCATTATCCGCCGCAGTGGCTTCATGTGACGTCGAGGGGAAACATGTGGGTTGTCATGGGCGGCTTTCCAGCCATGCCCCATGACCCCTTGGGTGCGCCCCGTGGCGTCCTATCGAACCTCCCAATGCCTAGCGCCACGGACGGCCCCGTGGTCTTGGCCGCGCCAAGTGACAAGCGCGCAGGTGCCTCTGTCGCCCCACCGATATCCCTCGCGAGCGCCAGGCCACAGGCAGAAGCCAACAGCGCCGCGCGCGCAGACCGTGATTCCAAAGACACTGCTGCTGACAACGGGCCTGCTGCTGCCTTATAGAAAACTAAGTCATTTTCATTGTAAATATAGAGTAGTTTATTTCATGCACTTCCATTATGTTTCTCTAGCTTAATTAGGTCTACTCCTGTAACTTTGGTTTATTTTTTTTAAGTACTATTAGGGGGGATCAAGCAATCAAAACTTTCTAGCAAGCAAGCAATTCTCTGTACTGGTGTCTCTCCCCCTCGACACCGCGTGGCTTTTCTGTAATAGCTTTCATTAATGCAATCAAGCTTTCTTTCATTCTGAATTCTCATTTCTGTTCTCTCAATTTCTCTTGACATTGGTTTTCCCGTACGGCACTGACAATCTCGTCTAGCGTACGGAGGGGACCTCAGTTGGCGGACAGCAACTGGACTGACATCAGTTGCCTAGCCGTACGTCGCCCTTCCAAGGAATCTCAGGAAGGCGCCGCGTATCAGGGTAGTTGTAGGTTAATAACTGATGGGGTCATTTTTATAAATTTTAAAAGTATAGGGTAAATTTATAAAATTAAAAACTAGCAAATTCTCATTTTCAATTGAAGAACTGGTAAGAAGCAGTTTGAAAATGCATTTTCAAGTGAAATTGAAAAAATTGGTAAGATATTGATAACCAAACATTGTTTTCAAACAAAATTTTGAAAAAAAGGATTTTCCATGTCCAAACGGGCTCTTAGTACCGGATCCTTATAATTCAGCCCAAAAGGTTGTCGAGATCCAACATCTAGTCGATTGGGATAATTAGTGATCTCTGGTTTTATTTGAACTACATGGCCGGTGAGTTTTCAAGTTCTTTTTTGTTTTAACAGTATTTCGCATTACATGTTAAAATTAGAGTAAAATCAAATATTTCAGCAAATGCTTGTGCATCTACACTTATACATATCAGACAATGTTTATGTATATGGAGTAAACTAAGGTGAAGAAGATGATGATACTAAAAATATCATTCTATCAAGTTCCAAGAGCTGATGAAGAAATTTGGCTAGTTTTTATTTTAACGATACATTATAATTTTGGCAAGCTTTTCTATGAATTTTCATTACTTTTGTGGTTGTATGCTAACTTCTATTTTGAAGTCACTTTTGTTGTTTTATTTTTGTGTGTGTTGTATATGGATCATGGTGGCGCAATGTGACTCTGGTGTTACAAACATTTTTCTGATTTGTTTTTTATTTTTGGAGAATAAAAAATATATGGTATAGAAGTTCTTATATTTTGCTGGATTTTACTAATAGATTATATATCATTGCATGAAGAATACGATTTATATCTAACTTATAGAGATGTAACGTGACACTTTTTCTAGAACTAAAATGACCAATTATTTTTCATTACTTTTTCGCATTTTTCTCCTGCCTAATTAGAAGGGTAACAATTTTAATTATTTTCGATTCTTTTATTTAAGATTTTGTATATATATAGTAACTCCCAAGAATTAAATAGGATGTGGTAAAAAAATTAAGATTTTCCCCTTTTTTAAGGTTTTTAAATAATATATTACCAAAATGTTAAATTTAATGAGACAATTTGATAAAGCAACTGTAGGTAAAAGAAATAGAAGGAAAGAAAAGAATAATAGTTTGCAGAGACAGTATAAGATAGGAATAGAGAGAAAAAGGAAAAAGCAAATAGTAGAGAGATTAGGGAATTGAAATGGAAAGAAAAAGAAGATCAATAAAAAAAATAGAGAGATTTTCTTTTTTATTTTTAGTTTCACTTTTCAATTCATTTTTATTAAATGTTTTACTATTTAGTGAAAAGAACAAATCAAATGCATATAATACATTCATGTATTTAATATATATTTAAACTAAGAATCTGTAACGACCCGGCTGGTCGTTTTTGGAATTTACGCCTTGATCCCCCTATTAACTGCTTTCCCCAAGTTTATTTCTGCTATTTTGATTTGCCGGGATGTTCGGTCTTGAGTTTCGGAGAGCTTTGGGACACTTAGTCCCCAAAATGAGAGCTTAAGTGTTGGAAAGTAGTCCGTAGCCAGAACAGTGTGAAGACGGCCTCGGAATGGAAATCAGATGGTTCCGTTAGCTCCGTTAGGTGATTTCGGGTTTAGGGGCGTGGTCGGATTGTGTTTTGAAAGTCCGTAGCTAATTTAGGCTTGAAATGCCGAAGTTTGAATTTTTGAAGTTTTCGGTCCGATAGTGAGATTTTGATCCGAGGGTCGGAATGGAATTCCGGAAGTTCAGTAGTTCCGTCATGTCATTTCTGATGTGTGTGCAAAATTTTAGGTCATTCGGACGTGTTTTGGTTAGGTTTTTTATCGAAAGCATATTTTGAGGAAATTTGAAGTTCTTAGGCTTAAATCCTTGATTAATTCGAGTTTCCGACGTTGTTTTAGGTGGATTAAGGATTTGTACAAGTTTGAATGAGGTATTAGGTGTTATTGGTGCTTTTGGTTGAGGTCCCGGGGGCCTCGGGATGATTTCAGATGGTTGACGGAAAGATTTTGGAGTTAAGAGATTGCAGATTTTTGCTGCTTCTGATGTTTTCGCATCTGCGGTTTGGGAACCGCAGATGCGGCGCCGCAGATGCGGATTTTGGGTGTCCCTTCAGGTTCTGCAGATGCGGAAGTTTAACCGCAGAAGCGGTTTCGCATCTGCGAAAGAAGAACCGCAGATGCGGCTCCTAGGCTCTTTAATGAAAGTCGCATATGCGACATTTTGGTCCGCAGAAGCGGGACCACAGATGCGGTCCCTTGACCGCAGATGCGAAATTAGCTGGGCAGAAATATGAAATTTCGAGGGTTTGGTTTCAAAAGTTGGAAAATCGAATTGGAGCTTGGGAGAGGGCAATTTTGAGAGGGATTTGAAGAGGAGATCTCTGGGTAACGATTCTTTAACCCTTTCTAGTTATATTCCATCAATCTTTAGTTAATTTCATCATTTGATTTCAGAATTTTGGTGGAAATTGGGGGAAAAGTTCTAGACCTTTAGTGGAGGATTTGAGGGGTCATTTGGACTCCGATTTCAGTGCTCTTGTTATGTATAGACTCGTGAGAGTACGAGTTTTCTGAAAATATAAATTTCACTCGATTCCGAGACGTTGGCCTGAGGGGCATTTTGGTTATTTTACATAATTTTGCATATTAGCTTTGAATTAAATTGTAGAATCAGTTGCTTGAGATGTTATTTACGACATGTAATTGAATTGAATAGATTTGGGCCATTTGGAGTCGAATACTCGTGGCAAAAATGTGATTTCGAGTTGATGTTTGGGAGCCGGCTCGAGGTAAGTGGCTTGTCTAACCTTGTGTGGGGGACCTTTCCCTTAGGATTGATATTGTGGTAATTGAAATGCCTCGTACGTGAGGTGAAGAGCGCGTACTTGTGCTAATTGTTGGAAATACAGTTTTTTATTAAAAATAGCCTTGAATTGTGTTCTTCCTTTTCTTGCTTACACTGTTTGGAAACTAAACCTGCCGTAGCCTAGAGAAACATGTCTACTTGACTAAATTGCTCTATTTGCCTTAACTGCCTTAATTGTATTACGTGAACCATGCTAGGTTAGGATTACCTGCTTCACTTTGATATGAAATTGATTGGATTGAATTCCTATTGTTGCTGCGTATTTACTCTAGGACAACGGGACAGTATCTCGGGAGCTCCTCTGTATGTTTACTTTGGGACTATGGAATTGCATTCCGGGAGACCCCCCTGCACTTTACGAGTTGGACTGCGGGACTGCACCCGGAAGATCCACTGGACATGATATTTATATTTGGGGACTACAGGACGGTATCCTGGGAGATCCCCGGTTGTTATCTCGGAGCTGAGTTATGTTCTTTCACTGTGTTTTGCTTGACTTTATAATAATTGTTGTGGTCCTTTACATCGTGTGTTATTTAATTTCACTGTCATTTCACACTGTTAAACATGTATCTTATTTAACCTCAGTAGGGCCCTTACCTTCCTCTTCACTACCCAACCGAGGTTAGGCTTGGCACTTACTGAGTACCGCTGTGGTGTACTCATGCCCTTTCTGCGCATGTTTTTCATGTGCAGATCCAGGTACTTCTACCCAGGTGTATTACCCTTGAGGCAGGGAGCGTTTCGGAGACTTCGAGGTACATATGCCGCGTCCGCAG